ACAAGTATATATACATAAATATGTTAAAGACATATATACGTCTATAATATATATATAATAGATATATATATATAACTATATATAGTATAGTTTATATATACTTAAAACCAAATATATAGTATATAATTTATATATATAAATATATACTAATACTACCTAATAGTATATCATAATATAATATATATTTATAATGTGTGTGTGTGGTGTGTGGTGTGTGGCTGTGTGTGATGTGTAGGTACATCACTACGAAAGAAATAATATGAAAAATTATTACAGATATTGATGAGTATATATAATATATATATATATATATATATATAGTATGTATGATATGGTATGATAGCATTTATATATATATATATATATATATATATACATATATACATATGCTTTATACTATTGTATTTATATATACATACTATATATCAAAATCGAAAAAACAGCTGAAGTATCAACAAAAATATAACCAAATCTAGAGATGTTTATCGAAAATCAAAAGAAGCCAAAGGACAGGAAGCACGGTCCTCGCCTGCTGAAAGAGTCACGCACACTGGCCGATCAGCTGTGGCGAACAAACGTTTTATCCGCGTCTCGGAACGTTTGCGGGTATGGAAGGAATGCGGGTATTTGGTATCGACCCTCGTTAGAAAAGGTCAGTGGGAAGGATAATATGATTCTTTCAGCTTTCATGGTCTCTTTGACGCGTTCCCATATGCGTACGGGATTTAATAATTATATTATATAATATAATATATAATACATACATATATATATATATATATATATATATATATATATATATATATACACACTCACAATGCCTAATGAATTTCAAATGAAAGACTACAAACCTAATGACCTCCCCCAACCCGCCCGAGGTCAAAGGTCACGGGAGTGTTAATTACACCTGGAATCTACCCGTACCCTCACCCTCCCCCTCCCCTACCCCTCACAACCCTCTCCTTCCCTCCTCACCCTCCCCCTCCCCACTCCCCCTCTCCTTCACCCTAACCCCCCTCCCACCCCTCCCCTCCCCTTCCTCTTTGCCCCTGCTTCTGTTTGCGAACGTGATGCTGGTCCGTCGCGTCCAAGATGCCTCCGTCATCTCCGCTCGGGCAGCATCTTCCTTTCGGTTTCATCTCACTTCTTCGTTTTTTTTTATTGTCTGATAAGGATTCATTATCATTTTCTTCTGGTTTTTTTGCTATTATTTTTTATCTATGTTATTATTCATGCTCTCTCTTCTCACTTTCCTCTCTCCTCTCTGTCTCTGTCTCTCTCTTGTATCTCCTCTCTCTCTCTCTCTGTCTGTCTTTGTCTGGATGTTATTTCTTTCCTTCTATAAGTTCTTGGTTCTTTATTATCTCCCTTCTTTTTCCCGCTCCTTCCTCCCCCTTTCTCGCTTAAATTTCTTATCCTTTTCTTCTTTTATTCCCAATTCGCTACCTCCCTTCTATTTTTTCTCCTCTCCCTCTTCTGCCTCTTCTTCCTACGCTTTATCTTCCTTTCTCTTCTCCCTTCTTTTCCCTCCCTTCTCCGTCTCTGTTTCCTTCCCTTTCTCTTAACCCCTGAACCTCTCCCCCCCTTTGTTCTTTATTTTACTGTTCCTAGTCATCTCTGTTCTTCTCTCTCTTCCTGTCTTTCCCCTTTCCTCGTCCCCCTTTCTCTACTCCCCTCCTTTATTGCCCCCCTCATTCCCTCCCTCTGTTCCTCTTGCCTTACCTACTATAGAAGAAGCAAATTACACTTTAAGTACATCCCCATCCTCCTCCTTTCCCCTCTACCCCAATCCTCCTTCCTCGTCCTTCTCCCCCTCCCTTTCCCTCCTCTCCCTCTCCATCCTCCTCCCTTCTTCCCTTCTCCTACCTCCCCCCTCCCCCATTCCATTCTCCCTTCCCCCTCAGCCCTCCCCCACACCATCCTCTCTCCCCCTCCTCTTACCCCTCCTCCCCCTCCTCCCATCCTCTACCCCCCTCCCCTCCCGCCCCCCCATTCTCCTCCCCTCTCTCTCCTTCCCCTTCCTCCCTCCCCCATTCTCACCCCCTCCTCCCCTCCCCCCTCCCCCATCATCTCCTCCCCCATTCTCCTCCCTTCTCCCCCCCCCTCCTTACCCCCACCCCCCACCCCTCTAAGGACACCAATCCTAAGGTGGATAAAACACTTGCCAATTACCACCCAATCATTACACCTGGGCCAATACGAAGGTGCAGGTCGCCCCCCCTCCCTCCCTACCCCCACCACCAAAATGTTTCCCCTCTCTTGGGACGTGTCTTTTTTTTTGGGGGGGGGGGGAAGGAGAGAGAAGTGATGCAGAGAGAGAGAGGAGAGAGAGAGAGAAGAGAGAGAGACTAGACTTGATGTGTGTGACGTTATGGAGAAAGAGTGAAAAATTATGTGATACATACACCAAATCCATGCATAACCCTACACACACACACACACACACACACACACACACACACACACACACACACACTACACACACACACACACACACACACACACACACACACACACACACACGCGCACGCAAACAAACCCGCTCGCACTTTCCTTCACGCGTGGTGTTCTCCCTCGACTGCACGTAACGCAACGACGCGCAATACATCTTGCAACAGCCTCCCGTCACCAGCAGGTCGGAGGCAGTTACCATGGCAACGGCGTCACAGTCTCGGCGACAGAGCTGGAGCGGATGTGAGAGAGGCATCGATGGGGAAATTCGTCATAATAGATGCGTTTTGAGTTTTGATGGAAGTCGGATGTTATTCATTAATGTAGATTGTATTCTGTTGTTTTGCTGGCTTTGTCGTCTCTGTCCCTTGTTCTCTGTCTCTCTATGTCTCTTTCTCTCTCTTGTCTCTATCTCTCTATCTCTTCTCTCTCTCTCTATGTCTCTTGTCTCTCCCTCTTTCTCTCTGTCTCTTCTCACTGTCTCTCTCTCTCTCTCTCTCCTCTCTCTCTCTCTCTCTCTCTCTCTCTCTCTCTCTCTCTCTCTCTCTCTCTCTCTCTCTCTCTCTCTCTCTCTCTCTCTCTTTCTCTCTCTCTCTCTCTCTCTCTCTCTCTCTCTCTCTCTCTCTCTCTCTCTCTCTCTCTCTCTCTCTCTCTCTCTCTCTCTCTCTCTCTCTCTCTCTCTCTCTCTCTCTTCCTCTCACTCTACGTCTATCTGTCTGCCTTTTCTCATTTATTCAGTTTGGGATTATCTTATTTTCGTTCTATATAACTTGTTTTTTTTTCGCCAAAACTTCCAAAGAAAAACGAACTTCTTAGAAAAGATTTTCATAAGCATCTCTAAACCAATTATCGAAATTTCTCCTCGAATAAACTTATTTTTCCACTCGCTTCGTTTCTATTTTCTCTCTTCCACTCCTGTTCCTTTCGTTTCTTCCCTCGCCTCTTCTCCTCTTCTCTTATCTCTTTCCCTTCTTGTCTCTCTTCGTCCCTCCTTGTTTTCTTCTCCTTCTCTTTTCTCCACCTCTCTCCACCTCTATCAATTTCTTTCTTTTCTTTTCTTTATTCTTGTCTCCTCTCCATTCTTCTTTCTCCCCCTTCCCCTCTTCACTCCTTTACTCTCGCTCCTTTTCTCCCCCTCCCTCTCTTCCCTTCTTTATTCCTCCATCCCTTTCCCCATTCTTGTAGCCATCTCTCTCTCTACATTTTCTCTTCTCCTAATCTTTCTTCCTAGGTTCTCTCCCTCTTCCTCTCTTCCTTTCTTTTCTAACCCTCCCTTCTTCATTCTTTTTCTCCATATCTCCTCTTCCCTTCTTGTCTCTCCACTTCCTCCTTTCTTTCTCCCTTCCATTATTCATTTTTTTCTCTCTATCTCTCCCTCTCATTCATTCTCCCTCATTCCTTCTTTCAATCCTGTTCTCCATCTCCCTTCCTTCTCTCCCTTCTTCTCTTCCCTTTTTCCTCATTGTCTCTTCCCTCCATTCCTCCTCTCCCATCACCCCTCTTCCTTCCCTCTCTCCATTCCTCCTTTTTCCATCTCCCCTCTCCCTCTCCCCCATCCCCCCTACTCCCCCTTCCCCCTTCCCCCCTTCCACCCTCCCCCTATCTCCTCCTTTCCTTACCTCCCCTCTCCCCCCCCTCCCTCCCCCCTTCCCCCCTCCCCCCCCCTTCCCCCTTCCACTCCCCCTTCCCCCCTCCACTCCCCCTTCCCCTTCACCCTCCCCCTACCTTCCTCCTCTCCTTTCTCTCCCTCCCCCTTCCCCCTCACCCCCTCCACTCCCCCACCCATCCCCACCCCCACCCCCTCCACACCCCCCACCCAACCCCACCCCCCACCCTCCCCCACACCCACCACCGCCCCCCCACCCCACCCACTTCACGCCGCCAGACAAACCCTTAGCGAGAACCAGCCCAAAGAATTGTGTTTGAGCTTAGTCACAATGGTTTAATTGTAACCGATTGTCGAGTCGATGGGTGAAGGGAGGGGGGGAGGGGGTGGGGGGAGGGGTGGGGGGAGAGGTCAGGAAGGACGATGAGGTGGGTGGGGGGTCAGGTCAGGAAGGACGATCAGGGGTGGGGGAAGGGGACGATGAGGGGGGTGCGGGGTGGGGGTGGGGGGGAGAAGGGGCGTTATGGGTGGCCTGAGGGTGTATATGGCGGTTTGGGGTGGGTGTGGGGAGGGGAGGGGGGGAGAGATGGAGGGGCAGGAGGTGTGTGTGTGTTGGTGTGTGGTGATGGGGGAGGGGGGGAGGGGGAGGTAGGTACAGTAATGGCTCCATCAATTAGCAGGATTTGTGAAGGATGTCTTTCTCTCGTTCTAACGGGGGGGGGGGGGAAGGAGGTTCCAGGGAGGTGGGAAGAAAGGCTCTCTCTCTCTCTTTCTCTCTCTCTCTCCTCTCTCTCTCTCTCTCTCTCTCTCTCTCTCTCTCTCTCTCTCTCTCTCTCTCTCTCTCTCTTTTCTCTTGTCTCTCTTTCTCTGTATGTGTATGTGTGTGTGTGTCTCTTCTCTGTCTATGCTATATACTATATGCATATATTACATATATATATGTGTGTGTGTGTGTTGTGTGTGTGTGTGTGTGTGTGTGTGTGTGTGTATGTTGTGTGTGTGTGTCTGTTTCTGTGTGTGTGTGTGCGTATGAGTACAAGAAAAGTTATCTTGATTTTTCTCCCCCTTGGTCTCTGTCCCCATAACCAATAAAACCAATCAATATCCTATTCAGTTCATATCAAAACAAACACAAACATTTCCGCAACTCTTGACAGTCCCCCCCCCCCCCAGAACCGGTCAAGAATCGGCCTAAATCGACTAAAAATCCAGGTAACAACGGAAAGGAATGACCGCTGAGGTGGCAACACTGGTCCCGAGACACAAGCTAATTAAAAGCCGCACAGGAACAACTTAACACTCACAACTTGACTGGAACTTAGAATTTATGTCTTTGGGGGTTGTTGGAGACTTGCTTGTCCTTGTTTTTTGTGTTCTTTTCTTTGTTATTTTGTGTTTTATCTTCTGTTTTATTTATTTGATTTTTTTTGTTTCTGTTAATTTTTTTCTTTGTTTTTTTATTACCTTTTCTTTACTTTACATTTTTTCTTCTTTCTCTTCTTTGTTTTTTACATTTCTTTTCGTTGTTTTTTTCTTTTCTTTTCCATGTTTTCTTTTCTTCACTTTCTCATTTTCGGTTTTCTTGTTTTCTTTCTTTTCCCTTCATTTTCCTTTTCCTTTCTTTTTCTCTTGGAAGAGAGAAAAAAATACGTTGTTTTCTACTTACCATTAACTTGTCGTTCTTAATAACATCATTTCCTTTGACGCGAGAACGAAATATTAACATTTCGAATTAGGCTTTAGGCTCGTCACCCCTTTGTAAATAAAAGACTAATGGTCCATGTGCCTATTATTATAGCGGTATTTCTTCGGTTGATAATTACGGACAACCATCCCCGGGCGCCGTTCTGTACGTACTGAATGACAAAACCAAATTATTGTTAACCCGACAGTACCCGGCAGTGCGGGATGACAAATGAGGATTGAGCCCGTAGCCCACCCACCCGGGTAGCTATCGGGGAAATTACCTTTTTATCTCTCGTACTTTAGGGTTGATTAGAAGCGATTCTAGATTGGCCGAAGTAACGTATTCCGAAGAAGATGACAAGGAGAATAAAGAAGTATATAAATAATCGATGTATCTGATATAGATTGATATTGTATTATATCTCTCCCGCAACAGGATGCAACAGGAATCCTCGGAACGACTGGCAGAACCGATCTAGTTTTAGATCACACCGGAAAAAAAGATAAATAAAACATAAATACTTTGTTTATGAAACTCCAAATAATCTATTTATTCCAAATATAGAATCCTATTTCCCTCTCCCGCAACAGGCTACAGCGAGAGCGCCTTCGGTCACGCCATCACGGCAGCTGGAGTCACCCACAGTGTCGCCCGCGCATGCGCAGCTGGGCGCCTCCACAACTGCTCCTGCGGCATGGTGAGGCATAGTCTTCAAGATCTTAATCTGCTTTGCCGAGTCATCTGGCATCCGCTTGGAATAGATCATTTGTGTTTTTTTTTTTATAGAGAGAAAAAAATGATTCATTATTCTTAAGAACTCTATTAGGAATAGCTGGTGGTGTTGATTAAATGGCTTTATGTAGAGGTGGCTGTGTGTGTGTTCCGTTGGTGGTGTTTTTGACTTTTAAATGGAATTCATGTTATTGTGGACATTTTGTATTTCTTTCTCTCTTTCTCTCTCTCTCTCTCTCTCTCTCTCTCTCTCTCTCTCTCTCTCTCTCTTCTCTCTCTTTCTCTTCTTTCTTTCTCTCTTTCTTTCTTTCTTTCTTTCTTTCTTTCTTTCTCTTCTCTCTCTCTCTTCTCTCTCTCTCTCTCTCTCTCTCTCTCTCTCTCTCTCTCTCTCTCTCTCTCTCTCTCTCTCTCTCTTTCTCTCACTCTACTGTACCTATCTTTTTTCTCTCGTATCATTATTTTCTTTTTTACTTCCTCATTCCCTCTCTTTCTGTACTTCATTTCATCTCTGCCCGACATTATCATTCTCTTCCCTTCCCTCTTTCTCACACCCTCTCCCTGCCCACCTTCAATATCCCCTCTCCTTTCTTTATCTCTCATTTACTCTTCTTCGCCTTTCCCTCTCTCTCTCCTTCCTCTTTCCCCTCCTCTCATATTCACCTTTTCCCTCTCTCCCTCCTCTTTCCCCTCCTCTCTCCTCCTCTCTCATTCACCTTTCCAATCTATCCTTCCCTTCCCTATCTCTCCTTCCTCTCCCACCTCTCTCATTCCCTTTCTCCCTCTCCCATTCCCTCTCCTTCCCCTTTGCCCCTCATTCCTTTTCCTTTCCTCCTCTCTTCTCCCCTTTCCTTCCCTCTCTCATCCCCTCTCACCCTCTCCTTCCCCTTTTCCCTCTCTATCCTTCCTTCCCTCTCTCATCCCTCTCCTTCCTCCTTTGCCCCTCTCTCATCCTCTCCTTCCCCCTTGTCCCTCTCTCATCCCCTCTCCTTCCCCTTTGCCCTTCTCTCATCCCCTCTCCTTCCCTCTCTCATCCCTTCTCATCCTTTCCCCTTGTCCCTCTCTCATCCCCTCTCCCTCCTTTCCCCTTTGCTCTTCTCTCATCCCCTCTCCTTCCCTCTCTCATCCCCTCTCATCCCTCTCTTTCCCTCTCTCACCTCTCCTTCCCCTCTCTCAACCCCTCTCCCCTCCCTCTTTTTGCAGGTTCGAGGCAAGAGAGCGTGGAAGTGGTCCGGGTGCCACGACAACACCCGGTTCGGTGCCAGATACTCGAGGCACTTCCTGGACGTGCGAGAGAGAGCCAAGGACATGATCTCATTCACACACCTCTATTAATAATGAGGTCGGGAGGAAGGTGGGTTGCTGGGGGCGAGGGGGGCGGGGCGGGGAGGGCGGTGGTGGGGAGGGTGGGGTCGTGTGGAGGGAGCTTGTGATGGTAATTATGTATGTGCGTATTTTTGGTGGAATGAAGGTATGTTTACGTACACGAATACGTACATGTATGTGTGATTTCATTAATGCATTCATAGATATATCCATACATGCACTCGGACCAATTTGCGCGTACAAACGTACACGTGTATATGTACCTAATTATGCTGTATTACTTACAGACATACACACGTGCGCTCGTACATACATACATACGTGCATAACTGTGTAGTGTATATTTATAAAATGACGGAATATCGAATGCTTACACGTATGTTCATGAAAATCCTTTGTAACTTTGAACATACAGAGAACGAATTGAATTTAAAAAAATACACAAAGACAACATAACAAAATCAGATGAATTTCCAAAGTACACACCTCATTCAGAATCTCAATTCAGACCACGCACAAATTCCCTATGTATCTTAATAGGGCAGTTATTTCTAAAAATAAATGAAACAAACAATGAAATTAAATAAATACAAATATCTAAATGATATAGCTGGCAGTTATCTCTAGAAATAAATAAAACAAAAAATAAAATAGCTAAATTAATTCAAATTTCTGAATGAAATAGCAGGCAGTTATCTCTAGAAATAAATAAAATAGACAATGAAATAGCTAAATGAATTTTTAGTATCTGAATGAAATAGCAGTCAGTTATCTCTAGAAATAAATAAAAGATAGACAACGAAATAGCTAAATGAATTAAATCTTAAATGAATAGCAGGCTAGAAATAAATAAAAATCAGTTAGCGAAATAGCTTAAATTTTTAAATATCTGAATGAAATAGCAGTCAGTTATCTCTAGAAATAAAATAAAAAAGACAACGAAATACCTAAATGAATCAAATATCTGAATGAAATAGCAGCAGTTATCTCTAGAAATAAATAAAACAGACAAAACGAAATAGCTAAATGAATTAAATATCTCGTGAAATAGCAGTCCACTCAGCCTCCACCTCCTCCTCCTCCTCCTCCACAGCTGGTCCGTCGCAACCGGGAAGTCCGGTGCAAATGCCACGGGATGTCAGGCTCCTGTGAGGTCCGGACTTGCTGGAAGGCCGCCCCTGACTTCCGGAGAGTCGGCGACATGCTGAAGGAGAAGTACCGGAAGGCGAAGTCAGCGGCGAGTGAAGTCTTCGGGAATTCGGCCAACACGGCGAGCATGTACAGGCCCGTCAGGAGGTAAGGCTGGTGGCGGTGAGGTGCTGACGGCGAGATGCGTGGGTCGTGGGTCGTGGGGTTGGCATTGTGTGGGGGTTGTTTGTTTGTTGTTGTCATTTTTAGATTTGTGTAGGTGCATAGAAATAGATTTCTATTTTGCGATATCTATGTGTTATATATATATTTTTCTCTCTCTTTTTTTTGACAAGATTCTGTCTCCTTTTCGTGTAGATTTTCGTAGCCGTCCATTTCATAAAGCGTTGAAATGGTATGATTGGAAGCAGATATCTTCACAGTAACAAGAGATGTAATACACTGTTTTTCGATTATATCTCCGACAGAAATTATACTCATTTTCCAACAAATACATAATCAAAACCACTCAAATACACCTCCTGCACTGTGGAGAGACTCACTCCCTTCCCTTTCCTCCTTGTCTTCCCGAGCGCCGTCTCTAACGCCTTGCTTCCCCCAGGGAGATCAGTCCGGACTCCCCGCTCCTGTACGTCGAGCGGTCCCCCACCTTCTGCGAGGTCGACGGCCGCCTCGACGTGGCCGGGACGGAAGGTCGACACTGCAACCGCAACTCGACCGGTCCGGACTCGTGCGATTCCTTGTGTTGCGGCCGCGGCTACGACCAGCAGCGGCAGAAGGTCAGCCGGAAGTGCCACTGCCGGTTCAAGTGGTGCTGTCACGTGACCTGTCAAGACTGCTCGGAGGAGAAGTGGATTTCCGTGTGCAAGTGAGCTCGGCGGAGACTCTCTCGTGATTCTGGTGTTCCTTCGAGAGTCTGTCTGTCTGTCTGAAGATCCAAGACTTCATGAGACCTACGAGGTTCTCTGTGCCATGAATTATGATTACATAAAGTGTTTCAGAAAGACAAAGTGCTTCAGAAGACAAAGTGTTTCAGAGAGACAAAGTGTTTC